AACCCCCCCCTGCTCAAGGCAGGAACCCAAATCAAAGCAGATTGGACAGAGGGTGGTCCCGTTTTCTCTTGAAGGTCCCCAGGGTTGGAGCGCTCAGCGCCTCTCAAATTCGTTGATTTCATTGTCATACTGCTCTAAGAGGTGAGACGTTTCTCCTGATAGTCAGCCTAATATTCTCCTAATATTCTCCCTGCATGATGGTCCTTTCCAGAGAATCCTACCTTCTCGTGATGTACCCAAAGCAGCAGAGCCTCAGTTTCATCAAAAAGAGACGTTTCTCCTGATAGCCTAATATTCTCCTAATATTCTCCCTGCATGATGGTCCTTTCCAGAGAATCCTACCTTCTCGTGATGTACCCAAAGCAGCAGAGCCTCAGTTTCATCAAAAAATTTTTTTGCCTCCAGAGATTGTTCAGGCTGGATTTGATCTCGGACCCATTTCTTGGACTCGAGGGCAGCCCAGGGTATCCAGCACCACATTTCAGACAAATCATTTGGATCCCCTGTCAGCTTTTGAGTGCAGGAGCAGAACCCAAGGCTGAACGGACGTGGGTGTTAAGTCCCCGGAACCATTTCTGTGCATCTTGCCAAGGCCTTCTGCCAGACCTGCTTCTCCACCCTGTGAGGAGCGTTTGCTGTTTCAAGGAGGACTCATTTCTGCACGTGCTCCTTGGCGTAACATCAGCCTGGAAACAAGCAGTGCTAAGGTGCCAGGTTGACCGCACCCCAGCAGGAGGGCACCTTCTTGGTCCTTCTTTCTGACTCTGTTGTTCCAAGGACCGACTCCCAAGATCAGGTTGTCAGCTGGCCTTAGGGCTCCGAAGGGACCGAGTTTGGACAGGCCAAGGAATGCGTGCACCCACCCGCAGCTCCCCATCTTTGTCTCACTGTTTTTTCATCACTCTCCTGATGCGAGGTCTACAGCTCTCAGGATTCCAGAGTGAAACAACCCAACGTAGAGTTTGTGGCCATCGGTCGTGAAGGACCAGTCAGGGTTATCAAGAACTCTTGATAAGTTCTTCAGGCTCATTGGTTTTGTGGTCTTGATTTGATGAGACGCATGGGGGGATTCTGAAGGAAATCGACCCTGAGTGCTCGCTGGAAGGACAGATCCTGGAGCTCAGGCTCCAATCCTTTGGCCATCTCATGAGAAGAGAAGACGCCCTGGAAAAGACCCTGTTGTTGGGAAAGTGTGAAGGCAAGAGGAGAAGAGGAACGACAGAGGACGAGATGGATGGACAGGGTCATCGAAGTGACCAACATGAATTTGACCCAACTCGGGGAGGCAGTGGAAGACAGGAGGGCCCGGTGTGCTCTGATCCATGGGGTCACGAAGAGTCAGACACGACTGAATGACTAGAGAACAACAAACAACAACATTGGTGAAGAATTGTCAAGGTTCACAAGATTCCTCCATTCTGGGGTGGGTGGGTAGGGTGAAGGACACCTTTTTTCTTTGGCAGTGTTTCCAATAACCTACGCAGACCATCTCTGTGGAACTCTAGTGTCCTTCCTCTTCGAGAAACGAAGTGTCTACGCGCGTGCATGCGTGCGTGTGCGCGCACACACATACACACGCACACACCGAGGAGAAGGTAATGACTAGTGGGTAAAAGAGACACAAATACACCTTCCCATGCTTCTAGTTCTTAAAAACCCTTCCTCTTTGAGAAATGAAGTGTCCACGTGTGTGTGTGTGTGTGTGTGTACACGCACGCGCCCACACACACACACCGAGGAGAAGGTAATGACTGGTGGGTAAAAGAGACACAAGTACACCTTCCCATGCTTCTAGTTCTTAAAAGGCTATGTCACAGAGAAGATCCTCATTTTGTGTTCTGTTCTATCCATTAAAGCAGTATTTGTACTATTTATGTTCCAGTCGTCTTAGTGATTTTGCTTCCTGGGGGGGGGGATGTTCTTATTCTCAGCAAAATATCTCACAAAGACAATGAGAGTAATTTTTGCAGCTCCCTCTCTTTGCACGTGAGGGAGAAACCAGGGAAGTCTTGCATCCATAGCCTGAGTCTAGTACAACAGCAAACCAACATCTTCTTTATAGTCTAGGAAACCCATTTTTCTACGCAGGGTGGAGGTGGATTACTAAACTTGGTACCCAAGTCGCTAGTGTGGTCTTTCACGTGTGCAGGTATGCCTCTGTGAGCATAAAAGAAGAGCAAAAAAAAGGAGATTACCCCAGAGAAAGATGGAAAGTAGCCTAAGAGTACCAATCTGTTTGTAGATCTAGTACAGACAAGATAGTGGAAAATACTGGTGGTGTCCCTCTGCCTAAAACCCTTCTGATTGAGAGCACTTGCCGTGTCTTATTGGCACTCTGTTTCAACACTCTAGGGGCAATGCTTCAGTTGGCATTTATTCAAAAGCCATTTATAGTTCTCCAGTTTATTTAGAGCAAGATTCTGTTTTATCCAGTGCCCCGTGCATTTCTACAAGCAGGCCCTGCTCCATTTCTTCTCCTGCCCTTCTGGCGCTTGGCTAGCTGGGAGACGAGACAGGCCGTGGCGCCAGGTCCAGCTGTATCTCTTCCTCTTGGCTTTTAAGAGGGGTTCTGAGGTCATCCCCGTTTCACCAGCCACTTGCCTTGTTTTAATTATACTCCTGTTCTTGTGCATTTCCTTGCTGTGGTTCCATTTTCTTTTCATTCTCTGTTAATTATATTTGATCAATCCGATTGTACTTGGTATTTACATTGCAGTTTTTTAAAAAAAGTTGTAAGCCACTTTGAGGACCTTCATCATGGAAGATGGAGCAAGTTTGGCATTTTCAAAGGAATGAGATAAAGTGGGAAGGGGGGTGATGTAAAATGAAAGGGATTATTGAGGCCACAACGGAAGCTGTGCGTCCGATCTAATGAGAGACCCAGGTTGGAGTTCCCCCTTGGGCCACTGGCACATCATCCAATGGCCTTGGCAGCTTCTGCAGTGAAAATTTTGTAGATATGGGACAGAAAATTGTTTCAACAACCAGCCACAATAGTTTAATAATTGTGTGCCATTGAGTCAGTTCTGACTTCTGGGTAGAGTACTCCGAGGTGTATTTCCCTTCCCTTCCTCTAGGGGGCGCCCTGGGACTGTGCAGTTTGCCCAAAGCTACCCAGGCTGGCTCTTCTGTATGCAGATGCAGAATTGGAGAATCAAATTCCCGACCTCTGGCTCCCCAGCCAGGTCTCAAGAACCAGCCGTAATAGTTTAATAATTGTGTGCCGTTGAGTCAGTTCTGACTTCTGGGTAGAGAGTACTCCGAGGTGTATTTCCCTTCCCTTCCTCTAGGGGGCGCCCTGGGACTGTGCAGTTTGCCCAAAGCTACCCAGGCTGGCTCTTCTGTATGGAGATGCAGAATTGGAGAACCAAATTCCCGACCTCTGGCTCCCCAGCCAGAGATCTATTCTAAACCACTGAGCTATGCAGCCAGCTGCTTCTTTTGAGGGCACCCCGAGACTGTGCAGTTTGACCAAGGACACACAGGCTGGCTCTTCCCCCAGGCGGCACAGTCGGGAATCATCCTCCACAGCCAGTTATCTAACTCACCGAGCTATCCAGCGAGCAGCCATTGAATACATCAAAGCCTGGGTGATCTTCCAGGAATTTGCGGATTGCTGTTCCCAGCATTCGTCACCATTAGCTACGTTGGGTGTGGTTGATGGGAGTTGTAATCTAACTACCCTCACTGTGTTACAGAGAGAAATGAACCACTTGTAGTACTTTGGTTATAAAAAGAGGTCTGGCAACTTGAAAAGACCGCAGCTAGGAAACTGTAAAGGGCCTCTGGGAGCCGGAGAGGGGGGGACTTTTTCCTAATTTGAGGCTGAGATTAAATTTGGTCAACAGGCTGGAGCTGGTTCTGGCCAAGTTTTTATGGGAGGCAGACGGGACTACGGGTGGGTGTGATCGGTCCCTTTGATTGGCAGGCAGCAGGATGCCCTCTGGTCAGACTGGCTGGCCTTCTGCCTCTGCCTCCAGAACAGAAACCGGACTTTTTCATGCATGGGCTTCATTTCCATGGGATTTCCCAGATGTTCGAGGTATGCCTGGGCCTACGAGATCGATCCACCCCAAACCCGGCCACGACCCCATGAGGGCCCTTCCGCCCACCATGTCCTCTGCCGACCTTCTTTTCTGGAGCAGCATCCCCAGACTCACCCCCTGAGGATGACTGACCTTCTCAAGGGGGCTTTGCTACAGCCACATAGCCACAAGGATTTCTGCTCCACCCTCCAGTCATCAGAGGGGAACCAGCCTCTGTGGTTTCCCTCTGTAACCACTGGATAACGGTGTGGCTGAGGCATATCTGGCTGCAGGGGCCAGAGGTTGGGAGCATACGATTCCCCCACTGGGCCTCCTCGTCAGGGGCTGGACTGGATGATCCTTCGGGGTCCCTTCCAGCTCCACAGTTCTAAGAGGATGATGATGATGGCCTTTCCCTGACCACACTGTTTCCACTCTTCGCACATGGTGCTTCCTGCCTGCAGAATTTGTAGCGGTGTGCACTAAGGCCGTGCATGTCATAACACTGCTCTGCACTGGGGGGTGGCACTTACGGGGACCCCCTCGTAATGGGGGCCCTGATGCCCAGTATCTTAAGGCACACAAATCCATCCCTCTTTTGCCTCTTGCAAAAGATATGTGGAGGATAAGGAAAAAGACTAAGGGGGGGAAGGCAGATGGTTGGTGAAGCCATGGAGAACGGAAGACACCCCAGAAAGGTTTGATGAGAATATCACAATTTATGATTAAATTAAGAAAATCCTAAAGAGAAATACAGTATTACTGACACCCCTATTAGGGTCCCTTATCATTGGGAAGTGATATGAGGACACGTAAAACACACGGACACACAGCGGACGGCTCTTGGGACTGGATGTTTTAAGGCTGAGGGGCTTTCTTAATCGTGGCAACCACTTCCTTGTCTTGGATACCCTTCTCCAACTGGAATCCTTATCTTTCCCCCTTCTAAATACCCCGTTCTTCTGCCCACCACAGGGTGAAACCAAGATCCTGAAGCTGAAGAACCTCCGGCCTCAGGACTACGCCAACTACAGCTGCATCGCTTCCGTCAGGAACGTCTGCAACATCTCGGACAAAATGGTGTCCTTCCGGCTCTCCAACAAAACAGGTAATTCTGTCTTTCCTGGTATCTGCCTTTTTTTTTTTTAATTCTCAGCTCGATTCTTCTGGGTGGCGGGACCCTCCCTTTGTGAACGAGGCCGCCTTCCCTTGCATTCCTTGCCTTTCGTGCGGCTCAGAACTATGGGGAGATCTCAACGACTTTATTTTGGCAACCCTTGACATACGCCGTTTGCTGACGTGGGTCCTCTTCGCTGGTTAAACCGCTCTCAGTGACTCCTGTGGTCCGAATCATAGCTGACGGTGGGGACCTGATGGCTGCAGCAGCCGCAGCAGCTTTGCCTGCTAAGAAGCTCATTGGGAAGCCCGGTTGAGTTGGCTTCCACCGACTAGAGCATCACGGGAAGGGGGCCAAGCCTAAGCCAGTGCTGTTCTCTCTATGCTTGTGTAAAATGTCAGTGAAATTTTGCTCAGATGAGGTATAGGTTTCGTCTTGGGTTTCTTTTCTTTAGCAAATCACTCCATCCTTACAGCCACCTCTTTGTGGGATGTTTTACTTATAGAGGTGCGCCAGGCCCACTTCCCTCCTAGTATTCAGAAAACATATAAAACATTGATTTTCGGAGAGGTGTTTCAGGATCTTCCCCCTTTATCATTGTCTTTGATTTTGGTCCTATTTATGATGATTAGGGGCATGGTGGCGCTGGCCACATGAGCACGAAAACTGTCTACGGACAAACCCTGGCTCTACGGCTTGGAAACGGCGATGAGCACCGTGCCCTAGAGTCGGACGCGACTGGGCTAAATGTCAAGGGGAACGTTTTACTTTTATGATGATTAGATTTTTTTTTTCATTTAGTATTTTTCTCCGTCGCCGCCCTCTTGGGTTCCTAGGAGTGCTGCCCTACTTTTAATTTTTTTATATATTATTATATTTTGTGGGTTCAGTCGAAGTCGTTGCTGTGTGATTTATGTTTATTTTCACGGCTCGAAACGAGTAGTGGCTTGACAGTAGATGGTGCGGAATAGATGCAAGCAAACAAACCTCCTCAAAATGGTTAGAAATCAGAGTTTGGAAAGGAGCTTGCCACCCCCGCGGCCATCATCCTGGTCTTGCCAACGACACTTTTGAGGACATCATCAGGCACTGGAATTGCCCGACCCCTCCCTGAGGTTCGCAGTCCATGGTGCGTGAAGTGGGGAGAGGCGGAGAAGCAGTCTGAGTGGGACCCCGAGATTTTCATGGAAGGAATTTGATGGCTGTCCCTCTACATGTCGCTCCCTTCTTGTGCCCTGTCCCATTCTCTGCCAGCCACACTTGGCCATCATTAATTTCCTTTCCTTTTTCCTTTTTCTTTTCTTTTTTTGCATGCTGCTAGTGATTACGTTTGGGATCTCCGTATTTCTCCTCATCCTCACTTCCCCTGTTCACCAACTTTCTAGAAATGAAAAAAAAAAAATGTAAGGACCAACAGCTTTGAAACAGCAAAATACCACTTGAAGGAAACAAAATCAGGGTTTTGTTCCTCCCACGGCAAGATTTGAACTCTCTAAAAGAGAGTCTGGTGAGATCTAAGAGACAGATGCGCACTCGGATGTCCCCGCCTAGAGCTGCGGGTTGGACTGGATGGCCTTAGAGGCCCCTTTCGACTCGACTCTTCTATGCGATCCTGTGACATTCCCAGGGTTTTTTTTAAAGGGAGACCGTGTGGGGCTCTTGGCAGGACGCAGAAAGCGCAGTGTCCGGTTGATTCATCCCGCTTTCCACTCGATTAATGAAGCCTAGTTTGCACAAATGCCATGATTTGAGAAAGGCTGGCTTGGGCAAATTGGCGACCGGCTCTGGCAGGCGCTCTGCACTTGCACCCCTCGCCTGGCCGCCTTGTTCTGAGTTGGAAGGAGCCGCTCCGTCCTTTCCTGTCCATCTTTCGCGGAGTGCCACTCCGTCGGCGATGGGGAATGCCTTGGTACAGCACAAGCTCAAGGGCGGAGAGATATTTGTTAATAAAGCAAATGCTGTAACGGAACTGAAAGCTGCTAATGAAGGTAATGGCGAGAGGAAGCCTTAACGAGGCTGCTCTTTGTATCTGGGGTGAGATTTCACGCGTATTCCAATTTGGCGTATTGGGTCGCACTCCACAAAATGACCCCACCTGGATTATTATTATTTTTCTTCCACTGTGAGCGTGGGAGGAAAGGGAGGAGAAGAGGAGACTTACCAGCGTGCCGTCTGCAAAACAGAGCGATCAGCACCGCAATTCGGAAGCGATTTGACGGCCAGCGGCAACCACAAAGAACCGGCCTCGGAGTTTGGCTTCGTGTTTGGTCCCCAGTTCAGCCAGAATTTGAACCCGGGGTTTCTGCCTGTGGCACGAATGAGCCCAAGCAGCATCCTGGGGGTTGGGGCAGAGGGGCTGCAGGCAGTGGTTGACCTTGGTGATGGCCGCGGGCTTTGTTCCTAGTTCTGTTTTGTGGGGTTTTTTGTCTTTTTTTCAAATAAGCATTTTCTAAAATTTACGCACCCTTTTATCTTTGGCGTGGACAACGCTTGAGAGATTTCTGTTGCCGTTGTTTTGTTTTGGGGTTCATTTCTTCTAAAATGGGAGAATCTGAAAGGGACAGATCGATCCATCCTGGTCAAGGGCTCCGAGAGCTTAACTCTTAGAAGCTGGGCTTTGAACCTCTGTGTATTTGGGGAGTCGTGGGATTGTAGAGCTGGAAGGAGACTCAAAGGGCATCTAGTCTAACCTCCTGCTGAGGGAGGCGACCCACACCTTGAGCCTCCCTGACACAGACGCATGCCAACATCTGTGTGAAAGCCAGCCGTGAAGGAGCGCCTTCCGCTTCTCGACCGTTTCATCTTTTCCAGCGACTCTTGTCATCCTGCGGTGTGCCCATAATACAGTCATCTCACTTGTACCATTTAAGCTTCTGATGAGAGTTCAGGCTTGATATGATCCTGCACCCACTGTTTTGTCTTTCTGGCAATCCATGGTATCCAGAAAGCCTTTCTGCGATATCCTATTTTGTTGTCTTAGGGTAGAATACTTTGCAATTATCTGTCGCAAATGTCTTCATTCCAATTTAGGTCTCTAACACCTAATATTAATATGCTTAAATGTTCTGTCTCTTGTTTTATGATTTCAAGCCTTCCTGGAGTCATACAGTGGTACCTTGCTAAATGACGAACCCGCTAAATGATGAATCCTCATTACAATGACTTTTTGCGATTGCTATAGCGATTCGCAAAACAGTCCTTCCAATGGGGGATTTTCGCTTGACGTCGATTAGGTCCGTGCTTCGCAAACCGTTTGTTTGCAAGATGACGATTTTTCTGCCTCCGCAAAATGGCTGCCCTGTGTTTTCCAGACCCATTCTTCACAGGGCAGCCATTTTTACAGCTGATCGGTGCTTGCAAAATGGCTTCCCTATGGGCGATCTTCGCTGGACGACAAGGTATTTTCCCCATTGTAATGCATTAAACTGAGTTTCTATGCATTCCAATGGGAAAAGGGTTTTCGCATGACGACGATTTTGCTAAACAGCAATTTTCATGGCACGGATTATCGTCGTCATGCGGGGCGCCACTGTACTTCTCACATTCCGTGTTCCAATGGTGTATGTTGTGCAGAAATGGATTTTTCCTTCTCCCTCTGTGCGTATCAGTGGCTAGTTGTCATTTCGGCTTTCATCTAGTTGCATCAATAGCAACAGAGCTATTCATTCCTTGACTTAGTGTTTTCCAACCTGGGAATCTCATCGTCCAGCACTATCTTACAGTTCATTTGGGATATTCTCATCCATGTAGGATCTTCAGGGTATCACACATTTGGGAGTGGTTTCCCGTAGCTGCCTCCTGTACAGCGCTAACAAGGATTAGCTTGAGCATCACTGCTGTAGTCGATGGAAGATCTTCCACCCAGTGTCCCCTTCCACTTCAGCTGCTGCCCTCCAGGAGATTCTCCACCCCATCAGTGCTGGAATGACCCGTTTTCTTCTGCTGATGGGACCTTTGATCCCGAAGAGCGTGGATGCCTCCTAGCCTGGTGTCTTCAGCTTTGCTCATTCTGTCTTGGGTGACCCTGCTAGGAATGTCACTTTGCAGCCTCCTACAGTATTCTTCTCAGTTTCTCTAGTACATTCAGCCTCCTCTCCCTTATCACTTTCCCCTTTCTTTTTTCAGGAGAATAAAATCTCACAGCAGTGGTCACTTTTTCCAGTGGGGTCTCCTGATGTGTCACGAGGCCCTTTTTCTCTCTGGATGTGGACGTTTACTAGAAAGTGGTTCCCCCTTTGACATTTACAAGAATATTTTTGTGACTTGCGTGACCAAAGCGTCACTTTCTCAGGAATTTATCCGGATGGATTTAGGAATCACATCTCGAACAAACAAGGAAACATCTGCTGAAATCCTGTTGCGCCGCTCCCGTGCGAACCAAGGGGATGACACCCATCTGTCGTGGCAAAATTGCCACGTATCAGAGGCTTCCTTTCATGACTTTTGGAGTGTGTGCAACGTTGTCCCGTTGCGTATGAGTTGCGTGCAACCCTGAAAACCCGCAGCAACATCGATTTGACTCTGAGGCGGATATCCTCCCCATTGTGTCGTGTTGACTTTCAGCCCATGCCTTAAACCTTAGGTGAAGATTTCAGAGCCATGTTGCCGGTTTGCCTTTGACGGAGACGTTGGTGCTATAGAACTGCGGAATTCCTTCCACTCAACCTTCGGGAGCCTGGGGAGAAAACAAACTAACTAACAAACTAACTAAAAACTGAACACAGCCACCTGGAGGCTTCCCTGCAGGAGGAATATGTTTAATTTCTCTTTCTGTTCCCTGCTGGGATCGTCTCCCTTGGCCCATGCTTTGCAAACCTGATACCCCTGAGGACGTTGTTCTTCTGACACATTCGTTCCAGGCAGATGCTAGCCACTGGTAGCGGTTGGGAAGCCTGCCTGTTCCCCTTGCTCATTCTTTCCGGCAGCCTCCTGCAGACCGAGGGTCACAGGTCCAAGGAGGAGGAGGAGAGCAGTCACTGGACGTGGAGCCT